GAGGTGTTACACCTGGATCCGCGAATTAGGTTGTGAACAAAAATGAATTCTGAAAATGGGTCCTTTAAGAAACGCAGCCCGCAGCGTCAGACCAGCTTTGTCCCTGTTGACATCTGCTCAAGTATTGGCGTTTACACCCAGAGCGGCTGAGAGGTGGGTCTGGAGCAAGGGATAGATTTGTACATAACTTTTTAGGCTGACTGGTCATTTTTTGCCGTTATTCGCCATAAGAGGGAGTTTCTCTATCAGCAGAGGCTGCACAATAATCTTCGTCAGCGACGCTTGGGGCTAACTGCCCTCTTCCCAAAATGGTGGCCGCCTCTCCTTGTTCTAAACGGGACGCAAGCCGACCTCAGCGAAAGGCCTTCTCAGACCGGAAAGAGGCCGTGGGCTGCCCTTAGCCAAGATGGCCGCTGCCTTCATCCAGCTGCTGAGGGCAGCTTCACCTGGCCCCAGCTGGGGAGAATGGGGGCTGGCGGCCCGCGGGCGAACACGGGAGCGCTTGGTGCCTGGACCTGGTGCCGGCCCCAAATTTCACGCCCGACTTTCCCTGCAGACCCCAACAACATCTACTCCTGGGAGAACGAGCCGGTGGTGACCGACAAGCTGGACTTCAGGCATCACAACTACAAGGAGATGAGAAAGGTACGTTCCCTTCGCTCCCTGCCTACACACAGGTGGGGCAGGCAGCTCCCGCCCTGTGCCCACCCCTCGCGGTGCCCGCCGCCGGCAGGGAAGGCAGGCACGCGTTGGCCAGCCCCGGCAGGAGAGGCTAGCCGTGCCCCTTGCCCTTCACAGCTGATGAAGGAGGTGAACGAGGAGTGCCCCAACATCACCCGGGTCTACAGCATCGGGAAGAGCTACCTGGGCCTGAAGATGTACGTGATGGAGATCTCGGACAACCCCGGGCAGCACGAGTTGGGTGAGTCCCCGCAGCACGGGGCAGAGGGGAGACGCCACCGGCATCGCTTCTCAGCCGCACCCCCGGCGCTGGCGGACGGAGAGGGAGAGCTCGGGTTGCTGCCCCTCGTGCCACACACAGAGAGTCCCATTTTGGTCGGGGGGACATCCATCTACACCCCTGCTCTGCTGCCCCATGTCCCACGAGGCTGGCCTGGCTGAACTCCACCCCGAGCCAGGGTGCCCCGCTGAGTATGCCCCCAGGCGCCCTCCCCCCCCGAGCCAGGATGCCCCGCTGAGTCTGCCCCCAGACACACCCCTAGAGTCAGGGAGCCTGCTGGGTCTGCCCCCAGACACCCCCCCGAGCCAGGGCACCGCTGAGTCTGCCCCCACAGACACCCCCCAGAGCCAGGGTGCCCCGCTGAGTCTGCCCCCACAGACACCCCCCACGAGCCAGGGCGCCCCACTGAGTCTGTCCCCAGACACCCCCAGGGCCCGGGCACCTCCCTGCCTGGAGTGTGTGAGGCTCTACCCACATTCAGTGTGTCCTGCCCCCTCTGGGGACGCAGGCAGCACAAACTCCCCCTCCAGAGCCTCAGGCCCAGCTGGCCCAGCCCGGGGCGGTTCCTGGAGCCAGTCTCTGCGTCGCTTCCCCCGGGAGTCTGGCAGGTGGGGGGATTTCCCAGGCGTCCAGCGGCCCCGGGGAGCGGGCGGGGTTGGCCGCGCTCTCAGCCTGGTGCCCGGAGGGTGGCGCCGGGCGGGCGGGCGGGCGGGCGGCAGGCTCGTGGGCAGCTGGCTGCGTGTCGCCGGCAGGGGAGCCGGAGTTCCGCTACGTGGCCGGGATGCACGGGAACGAGGTGCTGGGCCGTGAGCTCCTGCTCAACCTGATGCAGTACCTGTGCGGCGAGTACACCCGGGGCAACCCCCGCGTCGTCCGGCTGGTGAGCGAGACCCGCATCCACCTGCTACCCTCCATGAACCCCGACGGCTACGAGACGGCCTACAAGCTGGTAGGGCCCACGCCCAGGGGAGGGCAGCTCCGGCCGGGCGTCACTGCGGGGCCCGGGGGACCCGTGGGCACGGCCTCACGGCCACTCAGGGGCCCCTGCGGACGCAGGGCGGCGCCACTGCCGGGCTCAGGGGACCAGGCAGTACAGTCGCACTGGGCACCAGCCGGGTTGGCTCCGAGAGGGGTGGCCTGGGAATCCCGGCCTGGCGACGGGGCTGGGTCCCTCTCTGTGCCCTGCCAATGCAGGGCCGGGCGGGGGCTGAACGTCCGCACGCTCTGCTCCCGTGAAGCCAGCAGGAGGCGCTCTCAGCACGCCCGGCCGGCACAGTTCAGTGCTGCTGGCAGGTGCTGGTACGGCAGAGGGCGCCCCAGGCGGGAATACGGGCAGGGCTCTCGGGAACTTTAACCCAGTTCGCTCCTGGGGCGAGGCAGCTGAGCGGCGTGTGCCTGCAGGGGCCCGGCGGGGAGCAGGGAGTGGGCCAGAGGGGCCTGGCGGGCTCTAGGGGGACGGCCCCATGAACGGCGCTAGGGGCTGGCCGTGGAGCGCCCCGGCTGAGGGCAGTGAGGGCGATGGGGATCCCAACACAGACGCACGGGGAGGAAGGGGGGGCGAACACGGGATGGGGGGCAGATGATGAGGAGGGAGGGGGCTGGAAGGGGGCACGAGGGCCCCTCTGGCCGGTGTGGGCTGGAGGGAGGGAGGCAGACGGGGGTGGGAGGGCCGTGGCAGCCAGGGGATGTCACGATGGCCCAGCCGTTATTGGGGGTCTCTGATCTGCGGTGGCTCTGAGCCCCACCTGCTCTGAATGTGCCCCAGAGAGCGGGGGGGGCGGCGGGGGAGGAGGAGCTGAGCTCTCCCACCGCTCCCCCTCCCCCCCCCCGCAGGGCTCGGAGCTGGCGGGCTGGGCCGTGGGCCGCTGGACCTACGAAGGCATCGACCTCAACCACAACTTCGCTGACCTCAACACGGCCCTGTGGGATGCCGAAGACAACGAGCTGGTTCCTCACAAGTTCCCCAACCACTATCTCCCCATCCCGGAGTACTACACCTTCGCCAACGCCACGGTGAGTCCCGCTGGCCGCATGGGGCGGGGTGGGGGTGTGTGTGCGGGGATGGGGCAGTGCGAGATAGGGGGCGCTGTGGAACAGGGGGTGTTGTGGAATGTGGGGACAGGGCAGTGCAGGTACGGGGAAGCTGTGGAGGACATAGGGGCACTGTGGGGTGCAGGGGACATGGGGAGATATGGGGTGCGGGGGACATGGGGAGATATGGGGTGCGGGGGA